CAGGACTTTCTTGGTACATCACTTTGTTGCTCAAAATTGGCAATATGACCTCTGCGTTAATAAGAAAATATTAGATTCACATGTTATTACCTGAGAGTAGGTTAATGTGAAAAATACTGTATTATGAAAAAATGTATTTCACAGTATTCTAACAGATGCTGCTAGTATAATAGCCTAATGTAGCAAATGCACCAACTGTGCTTGAGCATGTTTTTGACACTATTTTCATAAGTGATGATATATCCTAATTGAAACTTACTAAAATTATGTTTTCTCCTCCAACTGTCATGAAAACATACCAAACTATGTGTTTTGTGTACCCATGATTTAGGAATATAAGATATATATTCCTTTTGGCTTTCTCCTCTGTGATTTAGAGTTAGATTTGAAAATATGAGATTTTATCCCTCCGAATACTAGCCCAGTGAGTTATTTCGGTTCCCAGGTATGCATTAATTATCCTTAACCACATATAAAGCCAACTGTAGACTCGAAGATTTGTATAAAACATTTTTAGATTTTTTTAAATTTGAAAAATCTACATCTAAAATGTTTTAAATCTAAAAACCCATTATAGAAAATAGTGTTATCTTTTTTTGAACTTGTGCAGTTAATTCCCTTAGGAATCTTAAGAGAAAGTTCTAAATATTTATTTTTATCACCATACATTAATTTGTGTATATATTGTGTCCTTGTATTATGTAATTCTTTCATTAAGCCTTTTATCTTTTGAAATCTAACACACATTAGAAAAATATGAAAAACAGGGGCGCCTGGGTGGCTCAGTCGGTTAAGGATCTGCCTTCAGCTCAGGTCATGATCTCAGGGTCCTGGGATCAAGCTCCCTGCTTAGCAGGGAGTCTGCTTCTCCCTCTCCCTTTGCCATTTCCCCTGCTTGTACGTGCGCTCTCTCTCAAATAAATCAATATTTTTTTTTTAAAAGTATGAAAAACAAAAATGTACAACCCATGTAAACTGCAATCCAGGTCAAGAAGTAAACGTTACCAGTACCCCCAGATACCCCCATCATGCCCTTCCCAATCACTGTACCTTCTCTCCCCACCCCTAGAGTTAACCACAATTTTAACTTTTACATTGATCACTTTCTTACTTGCTCCTATTCATGCATTTGAAATACTATGGTTTAGTTTTATCTGGTCTTTGGTTTTGGTTTTTTTTGTTGTGGTGGTGGTTGCTGTCTTTGAAATTTACATAAATGGAGTTAATACAGCCAAGTATCTTTTTAGGTTCAACATTTTTCACTCGAAGTCATGTTTGTAAATGTAGTTATAATTAGTTTTCATTGCTGTGGAGTGTGTACGGTATCGTTGCTGTATGATATGAACTCACCACAAATTATTTATCCATTCTGCTGTTTGGGGCCCTTGGGAACAATGCTGCTATGGACATTCTTTCGTATGTCTTTTGATACGACATATCACATATTTCTGATGGGTGTATATTGGCAGGTCATAAGGTATGTGTGTTTTTAACATTTTTAAAAGCCATATTTCTTTACCACCAGAGGGCTCTTGCAAGTTCCCATTGCTCTGTGTCCTAGCCACACTATTATTTCAGCCTCTCTGTATAGGGATGCCACATGGTTTTCATTTCCATTTCCCGCATTACTAATAAAGTTGAACAACATTTCATATATTTATTGGCTATTCTGTAAAGTTGCTGTTCAGGTGTCTGGCTCTTTTTATACTGTGTTGATTTATAAGTGTTCTTTACGTATTCTGGATTTGAGCTGATCGTGCAGTGTATGTGTTCTAGACCTCTCTCACACCCGGTTGTTTGCCTTTTCACCATCCTGAAAGATTCTGCTGAAGCTCAGAAATGCTTAATTTTAACATTTTCAGATTCACCCAAGATTTCCTTTATGATTCTGTCCTCTTTAGGAAGTCTTTCCCTACCCTGAGATCATGAATATAATCCCATATGTTAACATATGGATTTATCATTTTGCTTTTCATATTTAAATTCAGAATGGACTTTTTGGTATGTTTTGAGGTAGGGGTTAATTTTCATTTATTTCTGGATGGATAATCAATTGTCTTAGCACTATTCATTAAAAAGATGATCCTTTCCCCACTGCTTTGTAGTTCTACCCTTGTTGTAAATTGTCTGTTATGCCTAGGTTAATTTGTGGGCTTTCTATTCTGTTAGTGTATTTTACATTGTTTTTGTCACATTATCTTAAATAATGTAGCTTTATGATAAATTTTGATACTTGTAGAACAGGGCATTCTACTGTGTTAATTTTTATTTTATTATTTTATTTTATTGTGGTAAGAACATTTAACATGATGTCTACCCTTTAACAAATGTCTAAGCGTACAATACAATATTGTTAATTATAGGCACTACATTGTACAGCAGATTTCTAGAACTTATTTATCTTGGATAACTGTAACTATATACTCGTTGAACAGCAACTCCCCATTTTCCCTACCCCCACCCTTTGGCTACCGACGTTCTGCTCTCTGCTTCTGTGGTTGTGACTGTTTTACATATTTCATATAAGTGGAATCATGCAGTATTTGTCTGTGTCTGGCTTATTTCACTCAGCATCACATCCCCAGGTTCATCCATGTTGTCACATTTCCTTCTTTTATAAGGCTGAATAATACTGCGTTGTATGTATAGACCGTGAGCACTTCGGGATTAGCTTGTCAGGCTCCATAAAGAAACCTGTTGAGATTTCAACTGTTACTGCATTTCATCTGTAGATCAGTTTAGAGATAATATTACAAAATTGGGCTTTCTGATACATTACAATAGTATATCTGTGTAGCGCTTCTCAGTTTGCCTCTATTCATAGTTTTCTGTGTAGAGGCCTCATGTATCACTTGTACATTTGTTCGTAGATACTTGATACCTTATGCTCTAATATAAATGCTAATTAAAAATTTTCTTTTCAATTTTTATTTTAAGTGGGCTCCACACCCAATGTGGGGCTTGAACTCATGACCCTGAGACCAAGGAGTCGCTCACTCTATCAACTAAGCCAGCCAGGCGCCCCTAAATGCTATTTTTGAATAAATTTTATTTTTAGATTTGTCGCTGGTGTATAGCCAATGTATGGACTTAAAATTTTTACCTTTGTATACAATTGTAATTCATCTGTGGACTTTAGATTTCTTTTGTACCTAATTACATAATCTGCACCTGAGGACGGTTTTATCTCCTCCCCTTCCAAATCATTATACCTTTTATTGCGTTGCGTTGCGTTGCGTTTAGTAAGGCTAGGACTTTCACTGGCTGGAATCTCCACTACAGTGTTGACTAGAAGTGGTAATAGTTGGCACCATTGTCACATCCCCAGTTTCAAAGGGGAAACATTCAAAAATTTTTCTCTTAAGTATGATGTTACACATTGCTAGATTTGGTTTGCTAATCATTTAATTTAGATTTTTAAATCTAAGTTCGTGAAAGAGAAAATTCTGTAATTTTTCTCATAATGTCCTGGTCAGGCTTTCACTTTAAGGTTTTGCTAGATTCTGAAAGTCAACTGGAGAGTTTCCTCTTTCCCTACTATCTGGAAGAGTTTTCCTAAGACTAGCAGTATTCATTAGAATTCACCAGTGAAGCCTTCTAGCTAAAGGTTTTTAGTTTTGTTTTTTGCTTGTTTTGGAAAGGTTTTTAATTATAAATTCAATCTCTTCAGCAACACTGTTCAGATATTCTATTTCTTCTTGTGTGCATCTTCGTTAGCTGTGGTTTTCTAGGAATCTGTCCATTTCATCAGAATTTCAAATTTATTGGGAAAAAAGTTGTTTTTACTATCCTTTTATGTTTTTGTGGTCTATAGCATATGTGGTGATGTCTCCTTTTTCATTCCTGATTCCTGATATTTGCTAGTCATGCCTTCTCTTTCTTCTTAAATTGGACTCTCTAACATTTATCTATTTTTAGTACTCTTTTCAGATAATTTGTTTTCATTATCATTTAGTTACCATGGGTTATTTCCAAGCATATAGGTATTGTTTTCTTTACTAGGAGATAGTTTTGATTTCTAGCTGATTAAAAGCCCTATTCTGAATGATTTCTGCCATTTGAAAATCTTTGCTATTTGCTTCATTTTTATAAATAGTTTTGTAAGAATACCACTACATGCTTAAGAAGATGTGTATTTCATAGTTGTAGGGTATGCTGTTCTGCATATTACCATTAGGTCAGTTTTGCTTATTGTGATATTCAACTCTTCTACATATTTACTGTGTTTGTCTGTTTGGTCTGTTACTAAAAGAAAGTATGCTAAAGTCATCCCCACTGGTTGTAGATTCGCCTATTTCTCTTTCTAGTTCTGGCAATTTCTGCTTTCTATATTCTGAGCCCATGTTACTAAATACATGCAAATTTGGACCTATTTTATCTTCCTGGTAAATTGAAAGTTCAAATTGAGTTTCTCTCTTCATCTCTAGTAATGGTTATTACTATTAATGGCTAACCTTGACTGATATTAATGTAGCTACAATTTTCTTTTAGTTATTATTTGCACGATAAATAATTTCCCATCCTTTTCAACTTTCTGTTTCTCAGTGTTTTACATTATTGACTTATAAATAGCAGAGTTTTATTTATTTAATCAGAGTTTACCAATCTTTGTCATTAAAGACACAGTGAAGACATTTACACTTATTGTAATTGAGTCTGAGTCTGTGTCAGTCTTTAAACAACAATTTTTCACGTTCCGAAAATAGTTCATTAACACCTGTGAGTGTAAGAAATTTATCCTCTCTGATTTGTATATAAATGTGTAGGGATTTATGAAACCTTCTCATGTCCTATTATTTCTTTGACTGCTATGTAATGAAAAGAGATCCAGGGACTAAAATACACTAAGAACAGCATTTCTGATTTAGTGTTTTGGGAATTTTGCCTGCAGCTCTTGTCTTTATTGTGATTTACCTAATTCCAGTAACACAGCATTAACGATGTATCTCTTAATATATCTTTTTCACAAAATACTATAAAGATTTCATTCTTGATTACAGGGCTGTGACTCCCAAATGAGTGTGTCAGAAATGTCCTGTAGTGAAAGTACATCCTCATGTCAGTCTCTTGAACATGGCTCGGTTCCAGAAATTCTCATTGGCCTGCTTTATAATGCCACAACTGGAAGACTATCAGCAGAAGTGATAAAAGGCAGCCACTTCAAAAACTTGGCAGCAAACAGACCACCCAGTGAGTGAAAAAAAATTTTTTTAATGCTTATGTTTTCTGCACTTACGGGACTCTCAGTGTTAGGGGCCTCAATCCTATCATTTAGTCTTAACCGATCAAAATGAAATGGTATAATCATCAGCCAATCTGTTTCATGTTTTCTATTTCCAGTCATGTGGGAAGTAGAAAAATTTGAAATTCAAAATATTGTAAGGTGACAAGACTTTTAATTTTTCATAGTGTCTGCCGAATAAATTATCCCTATCATAGCCATTATCTTCCAATGCTAGAAAAAGTTAGAGTTTTTTAAAGTTAGTAATATTCCACAGATATGGTCAAGAATATATATGGCTCTTGGTGTCAACTGAAGAATGATGTGGTGTTTTCTGTCTGCATGCAGTACTATGAACTAATGTTAATAATTCTGTATTTTTTCTCTTTTCTCTGTTAAGATTATTTAAGAAGAAACTGTTTCCTCACATTTTTCCTCCTTTAATATTATAAATTAGTACTGCCAGCGAGTCTTCTCTTAAATGGCTTGGCTTTGCCTTTCCCAGGACAAGTAGAATAAGGAATAGTTTGATATTTCCCCTAGATGCGAGGAGAGGAAAGCAAGATGGGGTACTATGCCCTGCTCTATGTGCCTGTCACACCTCCCTCCTTACCTCTCTTCCTGCTCATGGGGGTGGAGGCAGATTATGGGAGTGCGGAGAGATCGTCGCTCACTAGACCTCCAAAACCGTTTGTCGATATCTGTAGGAATGAGTTGAGAACGTAACAGCTTCTTTATACTTCTCTGAAATCAAAGCTGTTAGTCTCCTAAGCTAAAAAAGTTGAAAGGAAATCTTGAATAGTAATGGCCACCTTAAATTTACTTAAAGATTTCTCACAGACTTGCTTAAAGCCATCTTTTACTCAGAGTCTCAAATAATTATTGGAGGGGAAACTTTTTCCTCCCTTGAATTAAATTAATTCATTTACCTCCAGATGTCTTCAACATTGTCTTTTTAATTCAAGTGAAAAGTCACACAAATAATATTTAGTTTTCCCTAAGTAATATTGGAAACGTTGCTTCTTACAGATATCATGGAATGTATCTATTCCTGAATTAAAAGTCAGAAGGCCAAAATTATGTGTATTCTTCTACCCTTGGATGAGTAACCTAACTCCCCTAAGTCTGTTTCCTCATATGTAAAATTGAGGTTGTGTCTGTCACAGGGTAACTGTGAGACTCAAATCAGATAAAGGTGCATAAAAGAAGGATGGAATTATTATTGTCCCCTTTCTCCTTTCAGAAGGAAGAGTTCAGAGGGAGGAAAGAAGCAATTACTAGAATAAACAGCTTTGGAAGTGTGACCTGGGTTCTCTTTATTGATACATACTTAGAATGCAAACTCAAATGGTCTGGGAAGTAACTTAAATGAACAAACTTGGCAGGTGAAAGATAAGGAGCATTGTGAGGCAGTGACAAATGCAAGCATGCATACCCTGCCTCGAGACATTCAGAGTCAAAACTTCTGAACACTGTAACAGATAAACAAAATATTATGTGGGGTTACATCCAGCCAGCAGCTCTCAGCTTGCCATTCCTGCTTTAGCTAACAGTTTGATTTTTTGACGTATATTTATCTTGAGATGCTAGAAGCTAGCAGAATGGAATGATATGCTTGCCTTTCTGTCCTTGCTTGTACCCACTCTGATAGAAACAGAGAAACCAGAACTAAAATGAAGAGGAGGGGGAATGGAGGCAGGGTGGGTAATAAACAGGTTGAGAGATTAGCATCCACAACTTAGAGTAGGTGTTTTCAGGTTAAAGAGTAAGTTAGAGCAATTTCCATTATTTTAGAATTAGATCTTCAATATCAGGGTGGTTAAGGGTGTTAGCTGGGAGGCAGCTAGTAGGTAAATATAAGTCAACATTAAAATTAATTGTATGTAAATAAAATCTTTAAAAAAATTGTATGAAGTGGAGTATTTATAAAGTAAAATATAATACAGTTTTATCGGTCTGTCTTATACTGTATATGTTATATAAGATTGTGACTCTTCGTATATACCTAGTTCTAGGCCTTGAACTGTGTTATCAACTGAATAATCCAGAGAAACAATTGGAACATTCAAGAGCAAAACTTTTAATAGTCCTATTTTATTTTGTTTAAACTTAATTTTTTTGTATTACATTGAAAGTAATAGAAGTATTTGAAATATTTACTATTGCATGGATAGACTTCAAAACTTAGCATAATAGTAGTCTTACAATGACTTTTATTCAGTCTTTTATATAGTCTGATAATTTGCATGATTCTATGTTCAATGTGCTTTAGACCAAGAGGATATCATTATAAAGATGTTCCCCCTTTAAAACAGTGTACTTTTTGTTTAAGATTACACAAGGACCTTAAAAATTCTCATTCCATGAAATTTACCCAACAACCCTTTTGTTCAGCCCCTCTACCTGAATTAAAATGCTAAAGTTTTGTGTTCTTCCAACTCCAGTGAACAGTGTTTCCTCTTTAATTCTAACCTTTGACCCTCTTTCACCCAACAATTGACATCTGGTCATTATTTCTTTTACTGCTTTCCACCCCCTGTTGTCAGATGGACTGTTCTGTTGTCTAAAACACTTGATAGGTGGACAGGTTTATATAATCCGAGGTGAGTTCCTGTAGAGGCTAATTGGATGTTGTCTTTTCATGCAAAAACAAAATACCCTAAAACTTGCCAGCAGGGAAGCTGTCCACCATGTTGGTTTCCAAAAAAATGCACATTTATTATCTGTGGTACTTTAAATAAAACTAACTTAGAATTTATCTCTGATTATGGATGATGGTATTCAGAGTATGTATAAAATAAGCAAAACTTTTTAAATTAAAGGTTTTATTTTTCATGTATTTTGATTCATACAATAGATATCTCATGAGAAATATTGCAATTTTCATTAAAATTAATTGAAATTTTGATATGAAGTACACATGATGGATCACCATGCTGAAGATCATTTGCATGAGTCTAAAGAACCTGAAAACACAGTTGTTTGAAGAGAGGGTTTATCTCCCAAATAATCAGGCAATGAACTGTTATGTTTCACTTTATACACTAAACATCACATCCATTTTTTTTTGTAATTCATGAAAACAATTAAGAATACCATACTTTAAATTTTACATTAAATTCTGCCAAAAAAAAAAGAATCCTGTAGTATTTATTTTAACTATCCAAAAAGCACATTAAATGTACTCTTGCATGAAACCAGGAGAAAGTTTTCCTTGATTTGCTAAACTTTGAGCCCTTAATGCATTTGGCTTCATTTTGGCCCTTTTAAATGTTTTTAAAATATATTTAAAAACCACATCCATGCAGAGATTTTTTTGACATTTCATCCTAAGCTGTTTTGATGTCATCTTTGCATTCTTGTCTTCTTTTTCTCTTTACCATTTGCCTTCATTTCTATTTGTTTGTTTATTCTTATTCTCTGAAAACACAGTGGAATGCTTTACAGTGTTGTGGCTAATTGAGCTTGCTAAGTGTTTATTAATGCTATGATGTCCTGCTTAGTGAAGCTAAATGGGGATGGGGTTGGGTAGGGGTGGTAGTGGGAGGTCAAGGATTGGGGGTGGGAGGGTGGAGGAAGGATTATGAGGTATACCTTTAAATTCTAACTATGACGTAGAAGTAGTGAGGTTGAGATATTATGACCCACAAAAGATTTGCATTCTCTGTACTTGTCACATTCTATAAGCATCAGCATCAAAATGGAATTCGTTGAATTTCCATTAAACATGGTATACACCATATCCTTATAAAGTATAAAGACTTCACGTTCTCAGCAAACATCACAAGAAAGGTGTTTTGAGTTTGTTTCAAATGATATTTGTGGTATTTTTTTTTTTTTTCTGTAGATACGTATGTTAAATTAACTCTCCTGAATTCCATGGGTCAAGAGATGTCCAAATGCAAGACATCCATCCGCAGAGGGCAGCCTAATCCAGTATACAAGGAAACTTTTGTTTTTCAAGTGGCCCTATTTCAACTTTCTGATGTGACACTCATACTGTCTGTGTATAACAAACGCAGCATGAAAAGAAAAGAGATGATAGGCTGGATTTCTTTAGGTCTGAACAGCTCTGGAGAAGAGGAGCTCAATCACTGGACTGAAATGAAAGAGTCGAAAGGACAGCAAGTGTGTAGATGGCATGCGTTACTAGAGTCATGATGAATAGGGCAACCAAGCAATTACAATCCAAGGCAGCATTATCTCTGATTGCAGCATCACTGTTTTTACCTAGTCACCATTAGAAGAGCTGTTCTTTGAAGCATCATCCTCAACATTCTACCAGAATGCGTTAAGGTCTGCGGAAAGAGCGTCTAATACTGACACAAATGAAGAAAAGATGTGTCTCTGGTAGAGCTTGTTTGGGAAATGAGACACTTGCATCATCATTGTTAACAGTCCTCCAGAGCTTTAAGAACATACTTTTGGTTTGAAGTTAAGTTTACTTTGGCAAAAGAGCCAGTAATTTCATGGAAAAAAAAAAATCAAAACTATAAGTGATTTTTTTAAATCAGAATTTTTAGTTGCAACACTGTTTTAGGATCACCCTACATGTTAACCAGGAAACACGTATTTTGACTGGCCCATCCCTGGTGTTGGCAATGTTCTTTAAGCTGAAAAAGTAGGTCTCCAGCTCTATCATGAGGCATATCTAATGGTGAAGGATTTCAATTACATAGAAAATTGTCTTATTTCAGAAATTTTCCCTTTGTGCACTTAGTTTCATTGTGCCTCATTCTTCTCAATAGCACTCAATCTCAAGTGCAAGCACGTATTCATTTTCATAAAGGAATTTTTCTATATGTTATTTAGAAAAGCCCAACAACTCATTTCTTCATTTGCCTCTGCTTTTGCCTGATCCAAAGAGACCCAGTCACTGGACTGGTCCTTTGCAAGAGTCTCTTAGACAGGTTGTACTGTAGAACTACGTAACTTTCTGTTGAAAGCACTTCCTGTATTCTTGTATTCCAATGTAGGAAGCTAATAGAGCAGGACTTTACTTTCAAATCCTTTCAACAACTGACTCTTTAAAATTGTAGTAATGTGAAGATACGTTTTTTTTACAAACTAAAAAAAAAAATAGAGTAGATAAGCTGTTGAAAATTGAAAACCGTTCAAGTTAAAGAAAATGTTAATTGTCTGCTCTGAGAATGGAATGACCAACACTGCATAAAGCAGGGATAGTTCCAATAAGAAACTGTTCTCTCTCTAAATCTTCTTCAGTCTTACTTCGATTTGTACTTGTGATCTAAAGACTCTCCAGTTCTCAGTTTGAATCAGAACATCATGTTAAAAACAGTTCTGAGATTCCTTATGAAATTTCTAGTGACCTGTGACTAGATTTTATGGAACTTACAGATACGTTCTTCAACGTGACGTCATTCTGTGCCTTTCATGTAAGTTACATTTGCTCATACAGCTTGAAAGTTGTATTTGCAAAATTAGGCCTTCAATTTTTATAAATGTAAAGATTCCTCAGAACAGTGTCACAAGATCTTTATTTCCTCTGAAGTATGTAAAAGTTGTATAATGTGCTAATTTTTTTAAATGGCAAGGCATTTTCGTTTGTTGTTTTTATATTTAGGAACTCTTATTAATCAGGAATATCATAAGCTGTTTTCTTTTTAATTTTGCTTCTTGCCCAGTATATAATTTATGCATATACTTTATTAAAATAGAATATGTTTTGTATATATGAAAAATATTTTCTTTCTTCTCTTTCTAATTTCTAATTAAACTAGACAAAAACATACTATTTACCAGTTACTAAAAAGCAGCATACCATTGTTCCTAGTCCCAACTAAGCACTATATATTAGTGCTTGTTATTACACGAGGACTTGTTATTACCACAATAACAAAACTGTGCATAGACATTATTATTTCAGCTTGGCTCTACTGAAAGGCCTTAAAAGAAATCCAAAAAGACAGTGAACTCCTAATACTTTTTAGTTTAAAAAATGGCAGCTCTATGCACCCATATACACGAATTATAAGATAAAATACAGATGTTACATTGGGTGACCTGAGGTTTAAGAATGTATGTCACAGAGTTGCATTAAAGAGAAAACCCATTCTTCTATTGTTACACTAACGAGCTTTTTCCAGGGTTTTTTAATAAATGAGTTAAGTTACAAAGTTAGAATCTGTATCAAATGGTGAAATATCTCACATACATATTTTCAGCAACAGTATGGGAAGAGATTTGAAGGGGGGTTGTAGACCTTAGTGAGAAATTGGATTTAAGCATTTCACGCAACGAGGATCTTTTCTGGCTTTGAAACAACTGACTGCATTGCTAAGAACTGGGATCTTCCTAATGGAAAGAGTTAGTCTTAGTCGTAGCTGTAACAAAGCCTAATCAGTAATTGAACACATTATGAGACCAGTGTGGTGCTTTCTCCTTCAGTGATGAAAAGACCTAACTAGCTGTTACTTGCTAAATCTGGCTTTCTTCAGACTCTGCCCAGAACTGTGTGTGCGCTTTGGTCCATCATTACGGGGTTATCTGGTATAGATATCAAATCCAATATGGCTTAAAAATTAATCAACAATATTAAAGGTTTTTCAAGAAGGACCCTACCTCCACCCCAGCTGCCAAGTCCTCAAAGATTATGAATTTATGTGTATGTGTATCTGTATACACACACATGCCTATATGTACACACACACACACACACACACACACACACTTGTAAAGGTGAAGGTGCCCTGGCTTTTTCCAATAACTAATTAGAGAAACGTTTATCAAGTTTATGGATTATTTTTCTCCTCTGTATATTTACTAGAAATTGTATTTGGTTTTGGGTGCTATTTGCTACCATTCTCCTCCACACACAGCAAAATATGTATATTTTTATCTTGTGGATTGACACAACTTAGCGTAATTACTCCCCAAAATTTATCTATTCTTTTAGAAAAAGATTAAATAGGTCTCGAGAGACCCACTTCACTCTACTGAATCTAATGTACAAGACAGTGCTACTGCTCTTTTGTGTGCTTAAATTTGCATGAAAGCGTAAAGGCAAAATCTTATATCTCAGCAGTTTGCAGCAAATAGGGGCCCACTGGTGGGCAGCAGGTGCTGTCTCAGAAACTTGAGCAAGACAACGCACTTTCTTATTGTTCTCTTAAAGTCCCCTAAGTTTTATAAAAAATGAGATAGTCCAGATATGGCAATTGACTGGCATTCATGAGAGCTCCTGAGCCTGGAATTACGGGCTTTATCTGTCTCCCAAATGAGCTGCAAAATGTAGTTGCTTATTACTGCCCAGGAAACAGAGGGTATTTCAAATCAGTAAAGAATTTGTTTAGTAGAATATCCTCTTACCTTTCAGAAGCGTTCTTCTATACTCTCATGTCTTCTGTACTGTCCACATTTTGTGTGAAACCCATTTATTTGTCTGTCTTCTTACTATGCATTCAGTGAATTCTCCATAATGTATTTAGTGTCAGAAATAATAAATTGGACCACAATTTTAAATTTAAAGAAAAGCCAGTAAGAAAGTATCAAAGCTACCTTGATTAGTATACACTTAAGTTTAAGTGTAGGGCCTGGTAGAGTGGTTTCATCCAGCCTAGTGCAGATAGATGCCCAGGGCTACATGTTAAATCATTTTCTTGATACCCTCATTATTTTCATTTACTTCTCAGGTGAGTCAGAAGTATAATCACTGATCGCAAGGTAAGACAGCATCCATAGGGTAAGAGGTCATAGAATTGAGGGTGTTAAGATGAAGATGGAGACCAAATGAGATCACAGCTTTTGAAGTGAACTGAGAGGCTATTTGAAGGTATAAATCTCAGATGAAATAAGAACAGTAGTCACCAACAAATTTTTTCCTGATATGAATAGAAATGACACAAATCCACTGGCCTAAAATTGCCATTCGCCTAGATGGACTAGATGGCCAATTCATAAAGATTTTTCTCATCGATGGTCATTACATTATTTCACACTGATAGTTCTCATCCATCAGTTTTTATTTCTTGTCTTCTTCCATTCACCACCCCCCCAGCTCACCCATGGCCTGCACTGGAGGTAGCCATCATCATCCCCACCAACCAAACTCAATATTGAGCAGAAAGCTAAATATGCGATAAAACATTTTTTTAATTAACTTTTAACACATCATCTGTGCCCACCAAAATGTATAATGATGATGATGGTAACTGCTATAATTTATTAAGGTCTAGCATTATAATTTATTATTTCTTTTGATTCTCACAACAATGCTATGAAGTAAAGAATATTTTCAGATTTTATAGATGAAGAAACTACAGCATAGGGGTTAAGCAGACTTGCCCAAGGTCATCCAGTAAGTAAGTAGTAGAAATGAGATTAGAACCCAGGTGTAAATTACTCTAAGACTTACACTACACTCACTGCAATTGCATTCCCTCTTTACCAGTTGCAAGAAAAACAGTTAGGACAACATTGTATTCATCAGTAATCCCATCCACCTAATGGAATGGCAGAACTAGAAAAAAAGAAGGAAAAATGAGAGCTTGGGAAAGAGAAACACAAGACAAAGAAGATCAGAGATTTTTTTTCCCTCAGGATACAAATGGTACTTCTGTGTAATATTGTGTAGATGACTTTTGATTTCCAGAGACTTGGAAACTAATTTACTCTACAAATTTAACCTATACTTATATTCTGAAAATATGTTAATCAATTGGTTCTGCTCCTTATCTACTTTTGGGAATCCAAGATGTTTTAATTGTATATGATCGCCTTTCTATGAAGTAGATATCCTGTATCCTTTAGCAGGTATCTTGCCCATATCAGTGCTGAGAGAAATGACCCTTTCTTCCTCTGTGCTCTCATTGTAATTTATTTGTTTCTTACATACCCTTTATTAAGGTATAACTGCATTACAGCTAATTTTATTACATGTCTTTCTTTCTTCCTTAATAGTAGTAAATGCCTTGTCTTACTATCTTTAATGTGCCCCTTGCTCATAGTAGGCATATAATAAATACTGAATCGAACTAAATTTCCTATAAAGAAATCAATAATACTGTTATATAGGTCTCAGTTTTATGAATCTTATGTAATGCATGGATTTATTTCTTTTATTTTATATATATATTTGTAAGGGGACCTACTATGTGTCATGTATTGTTCTAAGTACTACAGATGCAGAGATCATATATTAGAGAGACAAAGTCTTTTTGCTCTCATGGAGCTTGCATTCTAAGGTAGGAAGATAGCCAAAGAATGATATGCATTTAGTAGAGTACAGTGTGGGATCAGAACAATCTTCCTGGGGAAGTTTACCCTTGAGGTGGATCTTAAAGAACAAACACAAGGAATATATTCTCTCCAAGGGCAAAATCTGAAACAACTGTAGTATGTCCCCAAACAATGGTGTTTAAGAATTATTTCGAGAGCTTAATTTGTATTCCAAAGCCCCACCTCCAGAGTTGTTTGTTTCATTTGGTCTGGAGTGGAGCCCACAAATCTACATTTTATTAAGCTTTCCAGGAAATTCTGTGTGAGATACCTTGATTTAGAATATTGAGCTCATGATACAGAATTACTGATAGCAATGTTTCAGTGTCCATAGATTAAATTTATAATAGTGATAATTAAGAGTGAGATTATGACTGGGGCTAGTGCTATTGATCTTTTATTTGTGCTTCCTTAAAAAGAAAAGTATTTAACAAAAACATTAAAAGTGATGTTTAATTATGAGTTCCTGTACATTCACATTCAACATAACTTTTTCAAAGTGTTCCTTGGTATAATAAATTCTATTATGTTTTATGATTCCTGAAAATTACTTAGTTTATGGTTCACATACTCCCCTGTAAGCAGTCTTTACAGTGATAAATATAAGGCAAAGAGAGAGTCTGAGGAGCTATTTGCCGAGTATCTCTCTGTCGGTATTCTCAACGAAATTAGGTTGACCTGTAGGTAAGTTTATGGTAACAGCTGTAAATGGTGGCATTTTTTATTCCTGTGGATAGTCAGCTTCATTAACTTTTAGCATTCTCATCAGTGGCTTCCCTGTCCTCACACTCATCACATGAACCTCATTTCTGGATTCTTCACTAGCAACACCAATGTTTCTATCACCTCTTCTCCAATCTCTATTTCCTTGCTTCTTTCTGCTCTTTCTTAGGATCTGCCTTCCTCTTTCTGTAAAAATAAATACTGTGCATGCAGTTCATCTGAGTTTCTCTCTTCCCTCATTCAAAATGTAGGCATACCTTCTTCTCTCGTGTAGTATTTCACATGAATAGAATTTACATTTGGAAATGTTTTCCCCCCAAGAAAGATCTGTGATTAACCCACTGAAAAATGCTGTTATTTGAATGTTTCAGATGATCTGGTAGGGAATTGGGCTGTTTTGTAACTGCTGCTGTATCATTGTGTTTGGTCTGGTTATAAATAACCTGAGACCCGGTTAATGCAAATTTAACATGAAAGTGTGTGATAGACGGGAATTAATAGCCCATTATCAAAAATGAGTCTTGCTCTTTTCTCTCCCTGTTTAGACAGGTATGTGTCTCTTTACAGTCCTTCTTTCTTCCTCCCTGCCCTTTTGCCCATTTGCATTCTCATACATTCACACCGAATACCGGAGTTCATAGCCTGACTTTTTTTTGTTAATCGCATGGACCCGACAGTGGGAGGACCAGTTGGGTTTTCCTGATGACGAGAGGGAGCAAAGCACGTTTCCCGTTACTCACTGAAGGTTAGGTTTGCTCTGGCGATGATTGTACTCCCCTCCACTAGTGGGAAGTACCCTAAAACATTGTCCGGGTCAGGAGCGGAAAAGGAAACTTGAGTATTAATCCAACAGAAGTTTGGCATATTTTATTACAGAATCTCAACCCTTAGCACATAAAAATCTCTAAATAACTGCAAAGTCACTGGTATGGCAGTCGTCGTGCAAGATTTTTGACGTGATTTCCATGTCAGTTTGACAGTCTGTATCTTCCATTGTCCTATTAGTTTACTTTCCTTCTTCACCCTTTATTATTCTGATCAGTATTTGATGTTTGAGCTTGTCTTTTTAAATATTCAAGACTACTTTAAAAAGAACACCCTTACTACTTTTCTGTTCATTCCTTTAACATGTGATCTCTCACCTGACACATTGTTTTTAAAATGAATACCCAATAGATGAAATATAATACTCCATTATGCACCGAAAAAATAATTTTCTGGTATTCATTTATATATTCAGATATCGCTGGAATGCTTATTTCCGTAAATCTAAGCAGTTAATATTTTTTTCTTCAAATTTTTATTTAAATTCTAGCTATGTAACATCCAGTGCAGTTAATATTAAATGTGACTATTTTGCTTAATGAGAAAGTAGGAATTTTCCCATTTCTCTGAGATTTATTGCTTGTCTTGCCTCACATCTGGTCGAAGGGGGATGGTTGTGAGCCTCTTACCAGCCCTTCATCTGTCAGTTTCTGAGTGTGCTCACCTCCACTGCGTGGTATTGTTTCCAGTAACAACCAAACCTTTTCTACCCCGGGGGTAGGTCCTCCGCAGTGATTCCTGTTCCTAACCTTACTAATGTGGATGGAAGTACCACATGAGCACCAATAGGCAAAAAGGACCCCAAAAGCATAAAGGAACAATATCTTAGAGCCCCCAGCACAGGATGGTAACCTGAATACCTACACTTGATTCTAGTCATAACAGAATAGAAGCCCACTTCTCAGAAGTGAGACTTTAGGGCATTATGTCCTAGCCTAAATTCCCTCCTTTTGGTCTTTTATCTTCTCCCTCTCGCTTGTACATTCTTTTTTTTTTTTTTTTTTAATTTTGTGAGAAAGCCTCAAAAAGCCATGGTTTTAAAAATGTCAAATGTTGACTTAACTGGGCAGAATTTCAAAAAAGGGAAACTGAAGTAAAGACCATAGAGTCATAGGAAGGCTTGTGTTGGGAGGGAGGGGGCGTTTGTTTTTGTTTGGGGCAGTCCTTCTGGACAAATACTGAGAACATTTACAACATTCTATGATTATGTCACATTTGTTTTGCGAGGGGAAACCAGGGTAGCTTTTGCATATAAATCGGCTGGCTTAGTACTTAAATATATTTAAACAATTACTTGAAGCACAGCTAGAAAATAATGGTGACACTTCTAACAGTATTTTGCAATTATAAATATCACTTTAAATTTACTTAAGAGAAAGTTTCCAGTAGTAGCTTGCATTACAAAATTAATTTATAATGTTTCTGCCTAATTTTAATTAGATGATCTCTGTTTTTGTGGTGAAAATATAGTGGCAACAATTTTGAGGAATCTTTAAAACTGTCATAGAGAGGACAGCCAAACTTTGGCTGGATTTTTATTAGAATTTTGAAATAAAGTGTTATCAATGTTCCTTTTCAGTTCAGTTAGTCTTTATGAAGAACCAATTATTATATGAGCTTTAAGGTTCTCGATAAATGTTAGGATCTATTCTTTTTCTAAAACTCACGATGTTCACAACTGCTCAATATTCTTGCATTGTGTTTTATTTCTCAAAGTAACATAATTTTTATGGAAAACTCAATTAGTGGAATGTTACATTGAATATCCCCTTACTTTGCTTCTTTTTTCCTTTCTTCTTGTTTCTTTCTTTCCTTTTTTTTTTTTTTTTTTTTAAAATAACTTTTTTTTTTTTTTTTTTTTGGAGGAAAAGAGACTTCCTTAATAGTATAGTTTCTACAGAGCTTTCTTACTTATTTTTCTAAAAATGGATATAACAGTGTGGTGAAGTTTAAATGCTCTGTGAGCAAAACTATTAAACAACCTGAAGAAATGCACTGCTGATTAACATTTCCCTTGGTCTTCAATTGTCTCCATATTTTCTAGTGACTCTACACCATTCATGGATCTTGTTAATATATATAAGTGTCTTTATGGTTATCAACAGTGTTGTACTATCGTCACATATTCATTTGCATTTGGGGTCAAAAATATAAACAGATGCGTGTGTGAAACAACCCATTTTATAGAATGAGCATATATCTAATCACTTTCATGTAATTGAAAATGTGCTATATGTGGTATTTTATTCTCCTGTCTACTTTTCTACTATCTATACACCGATTGTCTCGGTGCCTTTTTCCTTTTGTATAATTGTATTACGTAAAAAAAAATCGCTGACCTCTCTGTAAACAGTATAAGAACTGTTAAAATTATTAATCCAAGGAAATTTTAATGGCAGTTTGATTTTCCAGAGAATAAATTTTTGTGTGGGTTAAAAGTTACCTTTCTTCTTCACCTTTCTGTCAGAAATCTCTTCACGTGTTAGCATTCACTTGGAATGGGTAAGCAGTCATCTTCTCGGATGAGCATACACAAAAACCAGCCCAAATTCTTATCATTGACAAGCGTCAATATGATCATTGCCCAGAATAATGTCAATTGCATAAGCAAATATCAGATGGAGACATGTAAATGTTATTAAGATGTTGATTTTGAAAGGAATCTCATTTCAACATGCTATAAAATATTGCTGTCACAATGTTTGGGTCATTTTATTTTAATTCTAAGTCAAATGTGACCTCCAAAGAAAACAGACTACAGCAAATTTAAACATTTTAAAATCATCTCCTTTAAAGTTCACAAATAAGTCAAGAATGAAACTAGCTTCAAAGTGATCTCAGCATCTTCAGCTGGAATAGGTATACACGTACACTGTTACCTAGCTTACTGTGAACGTGTCATAATTCATTCGTATCATCATTCTATTTAAGAAAATCATTTTGTATTTGGCAATAGCAGTTTGTTGATTCCCAGTCCTTTTTTATTAGGCATTTATTGTATTATTTCCCAAAGACCTTGAGTTTAGATATATTTTTTCATATTTTATTCCCATGTCCAGCAACAAAGATTTATAAAAACAGAC